AAATGTGAATCTGCTTATGCCAGGGCAGTGCTAAATGTGTATCTCATGTGTGCGCACGTGTGTGTGTGTGTGTGTGTGTGTGTTTGGATAAATATTCAACAGTCTTTCATCCATTATTTATCTGTAAATTACGTGTATCTGTAAATAACCCCTTCCAGGCATCTGTGACTTTTGCATCTTTTTCTACCTATAGTTAGAATTGTAATTAATTATTGCGTAGATCTTTTTGGACTTTCAATTCAAAGTCATTTGACATTAAAGCTTCTTTGAAATTATTGCATATTGACTATGAGATGAGGAATAAGCCTTAAATTCTGCACATTTTAAATAGCAATACTTTTATTATGAAGAATAACTTAGACATGATTGGCACAATCTAAATTGCACAAAATCATTTCAAAAATCTATAATCTTCTAATCAATTTTTTAGACAATAAATTTAAACAAACTTTAAGCCTTAGATTTCCTTAATTTTTCTCTTAACTCCCAGAATTTGCTATAATACAGTCAACCAGAAAGGCTCTGAAACAGTGGAACGATCTTTATTTCTTTTCCAAAATTCCATACAATTGAAAATAAAAGTTGTATGGAAGTCATTTCAGGTCCTAGTGTTTTCAAATTAAGTTCTATATTTTTAATATTACCAATTTTTCATAAATTTCCTTCTACCTTTTTTCCATTTTTTTTATTCATTTAATAGTTTTATAAATTCTAAATGATTATTTCATCGATTGAAGTCAACCTTGTCAGCTTTTCAGAAGTTTAAATAATTTATTGTATCACTCTTAACCTGTAGCAGTTTTTTGATTTGTTGATCTTCGTCATATCTATTTATAAATTTTTATCTAGAAAATGATCACGGTTCTGTTTTTCCTTTAAAATTAGGAGGCTTATAGGGAGCTAAAGAAGATAATGTAGACCATCAACAAACTGCTCTATAAATGAAAAATTTCTTCTTATGTCATCATTCTTAAGATCACATAATAAATAAAGTTTAAATTGGTTTTTATCTAAAATTTCTTCTCCCCGTTATCAAAATTTCTGGGAAAAGTATGATAACTGATAGCTGAATAGGAGAATTAGGAACTGATAGACCATCAACACTACCAATTTATTATATATACTCAAGGTACAGGTTATTGTTTAATTTTATAAAGGCCTTACATAACTCCTCTTTTTCTTTTCTGTCTTTTATTTTCATATACATGTGTTTCTTGAACAAAAGTTCTTTGAACAAAAGTTCGCTAGTACAAGTCAAGAGACTTACAACTAACATAATCTTTTTGTCCCCCTTTGCTCCAGAACAGTTCTGGAATTGCATCAGAATTAGAAAAGCCTAGATTAGAATTTCTTGTAAGCCTAGAGTAGAAGTGTAGTCTTCTGAAAATGTATTTGGTAGACATATATAGCTTTCTGGAACATCATAAGTATTCAGCTTAGCACTGATGACATAACCTTGCTCTAGCCAGGAGCTCAGACTTTAAACAATTCCAGGACTCCAAGCACCTGTCGCACTAAAACCACACCCTTTACTCTTATAAATAGAAAGGCTTTCTATTTAATTCACAGTGATTCACAGTCTTCCCATTATGTTTCAGAGTGAGAGAAGCAAACAAAAATCAGGTAAGCACATGTACAGTTGAAATATTTGATGGCCTAACATAAAAGAAGAAGACCTAGAAGATAACATTGTGGACATGTGTAGTGTATAAGAGTCATTTAAAGAAAATTAGCATCCACTGGAAAATATTTTACAGTAAATTTGTAGGGAATTTCCCTTATCTGAAAAATATATAAGCATGGGAAACATCTTTCAAAGAAATGAAGTGTTTCTGTCCCCAGTTGTCAACTTTGTTTCTACCAAGACATGGATAATACATAAGGCATTTTTTTAGGGGATGGGGGATAAGGGATAGGTGTAATTTTGACTGTACAGAATACACTTTTAAAATTAGAAAGTGTATGGAGTTTGAATGGAGCATATCCATGGGTATTTAAGTCTAAATTACCTGTATATGAATTAACTGTTTTGCTAAAAATAAAATATTTTTTATTCTAGGTTGGTATTCTCCTAATAGGCTGCCTGTTTCTAGGCCACTTCTTTTTCATGAGTAGTTGAATGATCAGGGACTATAAAAGTTAATTGCTTACCCAAAAACCTTTTAGAATGAGGCACAGGCATAAATAACAAATTCATAAAAAGGAAGATGAATTTTAATTTTGAGGTATATATGTAATCAGAAAAATATATCTCCTTTGGAAAAAATGACTTTTAAATAAATGGGAAATGAAGTTTTTAAAGAATTATTTTTGTGAACACTTTTAGTTAGTGCTGAAAAAGTAGAGCTTATAATAGTTAGTAAAATGACCCAATGTCTGTTCATTAATTGTAGACATCAGAATACCACCTTGTGTTTATATAGCACCTGGTTTGTAGTAGATGAAAGAACAATGACACAGGGTTTTTGTTTTCATTTGTTTTTGTTTTGTTTTTAGCTTTTACCTGTTATATTAACCATTACTTGTTATATAACCGTGTAGTTGGAAGATGCTTGTCTCATCCATATTTTACTAATTTGAGAACAGATCTGGTAACGTAGGTGACTTCTATTGCCGTAGAAGTGCCTAGCTTTCTCTAACATTGGTTATTAGAGCTGCTGTTCTTATTTTTAGCACCATCAAGTTTTTTCATGGATTTTTCTGTCTTGTCAGGAATCATTTTCTTCTTCTCTTTCTTTTTTTTAATGAACTACTCGTAAGGTAGAGAAGAAAAATAGTCTTGATATTTTCATTGGGTTTTCTTCCACACAAATAAAATTCCTGAGTATCACTAATTACAACTGTAATTGACTAATTCTGCTATTGAGACACTTTGCAGCAATTGCTGCATAACGATCTGCCACCAGTTTGAAACCCTTGGTTCTGTTTTGCCGTGGAGGACATCTTACTAAACCACATCTCTCAGCATCTTCAGACTCCTTGATATCACATAAAAAGCGAGTTTATTTCTTGGAACCCTGAGATTAAAGTTTTTGTCTTCAAATCACTGCTTCATTGGACAGACCAGTGTTTCAGATTCTGTTAGTAAATTAGTTTGGCAGAGTCTGTAAAAATATACTGACTGCTTCCAGGCCCCATTTGACCAACAGCTAGGCTCCCTCAGCTAAATTTTTCTGTATGCTGCTTTTTAACACAACCTCTACTTTATCAGCATCATCATATAAATTAAACTTTAATATTTGTTCGTACATGATCCTTATAAGTAATAGATATGGAAAATAAAATAAAACTAAAATAAAGAAAAATTACTTTCATGGCTTGCTAATTTTTATATTTAATTTTCTTTCAGATTTTAGCATGAAAACTGTTTATTTAGTTAAGTTTACAGTGATTTTTACTAATACTGATTGCCATTAACATGCAAGTTTTGGTAAACTATACATTTTTTAATATAGATTTTTTCAATTACGATTTTTAAAAGTTCAGTTTAGCATAGTTTTTTACTATGCTTTAAAATTCATAAAATAAATAGAGAAGTCAACAACTTTAATGCAGTTTATGATTAGGAGTTTGAAAGCCATTAGCTAACAGCATCTGCCTTTTTATTACGTGAGTTGTTATGTACATAACATAATTTAAAATGATGATGTCTTAACTCTTCTATTCTAGTTGATGTCTGTTTGTTACTCTTCAAAAGTTCTGGAAAAATAAATTATTTTTGCTTTATAATATTGCAATAAATCTCTTCCTAAACTATGATTAACATTTTTCAGCTTTAACAAACTCTGTAAGAAGTGCCTACTTATTTGCTTTGTAAAGAAAAAAATTGGGATGCAATGAGTTATTATGCAGTGATTTATGTCAAGCAGTAGCACATGTACATTCAGTTGCACAGTTTGTGCTAACAGCCATTATCGGACCAAGAATTTCTCCAGAGCTCATGAGTTAGGGAATAGTAATTATAGTAAGTCATATATTATAAATAATGCATGGATGTTTCGCATGAGCTATGTGGGATTTTGGCCCATTCGCCAGAACATAGCTGCATAATGATTTGTTTGGCGTTTGTTGCAGATGATTGATAGTGTAGTATGTTGGCAATAATGTAAATTACTGTTGGGCTGCCTTGAAAATTTCAGTACAAGTGGTGATTTCTTCTTTTTTTCTGTGTGCTTGTCTAGTCTCGGCAGACACCTGAGGGTGAGTTCCTTCCCCTTGATCAACTTGAACTGGATGTAGGTTTTAGTACAGGGGCAGATCAACTTTTTCTTGTTTCCCCCCTCACGATTTGCCACGTGATCGATGCCAAAAGCCCCTTTTATGACCTATCCCAGCGAAGCATGCAAAGTGAACAGTTCGAGATTGTCGTCATCCTAGAAGGCATTGTGGAAACAACTGGTGAGTAAAAACATAGATATGCCATCAAGTTTCTTTATTTGATAATAACATTATAATATATGCACAGTACTTGTCATGAATTGGGTTAAATGTCTCAGTTCACAATAATCAAAGTAATGACTTCCTTCTTATTTCTTTGTAACATTAAATTGATACTGCTTTGAAAATGAAAATTTACTGTGTGATGATTCCAGATGTAATGTTAACTCAGGAATGCTCACTGCAAAAAAAAAAAAAAAAAAGGGAAACTGAGATGACTCCTTAGAAATGATTATGATGTTCTGTTTTAATTACAAACTTGAATTTCCTATAATCATAATTTTCCTTTAAAGATTTAAGGTTAAAGTAAATTCAGCATAATTAGTGAGCAGCCTGAACTCAGCATGCACATTCTTGCCTTGCGGATGGTGATTCAGGGTGTCATTGATATGCTACTGTGTGCAACCTCAGTGGAAAATTCCCTGTGTGTGCGTGCGTGCACGCGTGCTAAAGCAGCATTTTAATTTCAAAGTGGGTCAGTAGATTTCCCCAGCTAAACCTAGACCAATTTTTTTTATAGAATATTTTTCTTCTCTTTATGCTTTGGGATAAGCTACATGCTGTATGTTATTCCTTATGATTCAATATAACATTGATATGCTCTGAAGACCCACAATTTGCTGTTCTTTGAGGAGAGTAAGGTTGTCAAAGGAAAGAAACAATAAATCAAAGTATATTATTTGGGGCCTAAGCATTACCCACTTAGTTTGAAACCTGATAGATGTCTGAGACTAATAATATAACATCAATGTAATTATATACATATATGTGTGTGTGTGTGTATATATATATATATGTGTGTGTGTGTGTGTGTGTGTGTGTGTGTGTGTGTATCTCAGTTGCGTTTTCCTCTTTCTACAAGTAATGAGAAAGCAAGAAATATTTTAGCTCTCAATTTTTTAAACCAATATTTTAACAATCTTAAATGTTGATTATTATGTATAAATTATAGTACTATTGAAAGTAACATAGGCAGTAACATAGAAACATTCAAGTTTTATACCAAGGTAGGAGACTACATAATCAAAGATCTCTCTCTTTGGTATAAAGCTTTGTCCCAGGAGCAGGAGGAGGAAGGCATTGTAATTATTCCACACCTGTCACATATCTATTTGAAATTTGGGCAAGATACTTAATCTTTATAAGCTTCTTTTCTTTCTCTTTAAAATAAGACAGATACAATAACCACCTCGAAGCTACTTGTCATATTATTATTAGTTTATGATAGTAGTTACTTTAGTTTAAAAATTAAGATTTTTAAGAATATTGAGTAAAGATTTAACTCACCAATCTATATCTAAAATTTGATTTCTGTGGACTATTTTATGGTTGAAGTCCTCCATTTAGTTTTTAACTTAAAATTTAAATGATATCATAGAATATTTCTTAAATGTCATATAGTAATAAAGAATGCGACTAATTTATAGACTTTTAGTTAAAAAATATTTTACTTTTAAATTTCAATTTTTGCTCCTTTTATTTATTGAAGTAATAATATATTGTTAGAGCTTAAACAGCAGATGTTAATTTCTGTTGATTTATTTCTTATGGCATATGGTTCAATCTTTGACACATCTGCCTGTAACTTACCAATTGCTTATTATTCTAATCACTGACATGAGTGAAGTTTCTATTTCACTTGGTAGCCTTAGAAGTCTTTCATTAGTCCTATCTATCTATCATCTATCTATCTATCTATCTATCTATCTATCTATCTATCTATCTATCTATCATTATCATCTACCATCTATTCAGCCATTTTCCCTGTATATCCCTAGATGTGTTTATTTCTTAAGAGTGAGAACATTTTCCCACAAACTCACAGTGGAGTTACAAACAAAAAAATCAGAAAATTTAACAATAATACAATTATTACCATTTAGCTAATAGTCCATGTTCAGATTTCATTAGTTGTCCCAGTAATTTTCATCATAGCTATTCCCTCTCCCCACCCTCAGTTCAACACATCAGTTTGACGATTATGTCCTTCATTTGTTTGCTTGTCTTCTTAGTCTCAAGATGGAATAGCTCTTCAACCTTACTTTGTGTTCTTGACCTTGACATGGTTGAAGAGTTCAGGCCAAGTATTTTATAGAATGTTTCTCAAATTGGATATGTCTAAGGTTTCCTTATTTATTAATTCTTTTGATTTTTGACTTCTACATGGGCATCTTAAGGGAATATTGAAGCAGGTTGTTTTTAAATTTTACCTCTGTATTCTTAATGTAACTGATATGTTTTCATCATATTTTAAAAGATCATGGTTAGTATATAATGTCTTATATAAAGTCATTATGAGTTTTGTAACATTAAATTATTCATCAAGACTGTAAATTTTATTTGAACATTTCTTAATATCTCCTTAAAACACAAATAAATAAACAAAAACAATGAACAGGCAGAGAATACTTTCTACAGAAAATGTGAAAACTTGACTGAAGACTGAATTTCTTATTTAGAAATTGCCTTTTATGGAGAAGAGTTTAAAATCTGCTTCCTCTTACCTCTTAATTAAGCCTGTTTTCAAGATCTAATATAGCAAGACAAACAGCAAAAACATTACTCAAAATTTATAGAATTTATTTTATGAAAATTTTATCTGACATTTTGTTTGCATATTTACTCTAATTAAATTTCATACTGTTCGAACTCTAAAATCTGCCTATATTTCCAGACATCCCTGAGCCTGGTAAAATTAACATAAACATTTTTATGCCTATTTGATCATTTATAATTTTACTGAAACTTATTTAGATTCATCTTTAAGGATGTTTTCTTCTCTATCATTCACAACAAATTTTACTTTTTTATATTTATTGCTTAGAATAAGACAGATAAGCTCTTTTGGGATATACCGAGATAGCAATAATACCAGTTTTACCTCTTATTCACACAGCCTTGTGAATAAACATTTACTCGATGATTTCCCATCATACTTAGCCTTAAAACATTAAGTTTTTATCAATCGTTCATTCATTAGACAAGTACTTGAATGTATACTATGTGCTTGAAAGTATTTGAAGTGCTGGTTATATAGTGGTGACTAAGACAGAATCTCTTTCCTCATGGAGATTATATATTCTAATTGGATGAGGCAAACTACAAAATAACAAAAAACAAGCAAGATATTATCACATAATAATGTGGTAAGAGTTGAAAAACAAAACAAGGTGATAAGGAAAAGAGTGCATCCCAAGCTGGTTTAGGTTGGTGGTTAGGGACAGTCTCTCTGAGAAGGTGACACCTAACTAAGCAGACCTGACTGTGAAGAAGGAATTCCTGGACCCATCTGAGGGGAGAGCATGACAGGCATGGCGAAAGCTGGTACAAAGGCGCCGAATTGAGAATCAGCCTGATTGATTCCAGGAACTAAAAATATGTGGAGGTGGTTGGATCAAATGAACAATATGGAGAGTAGGGTGAAAAGTCACAAGGGTGGGAGAACTACCTCTGCACTACAGATGATGGCATTGCACCAGTAGAAGTGTTGAAATTTGATTAAAAAGCAAAGCCTATATTTATATGAAAGTAATAATTTAGGAATTTCAAACTGTATATGACAAAACGAAAAGTAACATTTTTTTTCCTACTTGGTCATGTGTAGTTTATTTAAAAATTAGTGACCCTAATGTCTTGGAAATGAATAAAACTTTAGACAGTTTATTACTTTTTTGTATTAATGGTAATACCCACCTTATTGTCTCTCTCTCTCTCTCTCTCTCTCTCTTTCTCTTTCTCTCTCTCTCTCTCTTTCTCATCTCTCTCTCTCTCACACACACACAATTGTTCACTTCATAACAGTCCTCTGATAAGAATCTTCTGATCTCATTTAGTTTTTGCTTCATCCCACTCCAGGAGTCTCAGCAAGAGTGATTGTAGGGGAAAGGGGAGGTGGGAAATTAGAAGCTTTCTAATTTCCTTGAAAGTTTCAACTTTCAGTTTAGGACTCAATAATTACTTCCCCCACTTTCTTGGAAATACTCTTCAGTGATCAGACTCAGCCATTGTTGCTCTCCTTGCTTCAAATGAGTTGAATTTTCACTCTCAACAAGGAACACAAGACTTACCTCTTTGTTAATAACCTTTACTTCTTTGTTCATTCAACAAATTCCTAAACACAGGTTACCTCTAACTCTTATTCTCTTTGCTTCTTCTCCCAGGAGAGAGAGCACTGCTAGAGGCAAACAGCATTGCAGATTTGGCTCATTAAAACTGGATGCTTTCAAACTTCAATCTGCTCTCTGCTGCTATTTGGCAGTCTTTTTAATTGTCTTTTCTGTACTCCCAGAATCTCTACCCATGGGAGCTATTTTAGACCTTTTCTCTCTTTCCATGCCCCCGGTCCCAGCTGCCCTATCCTTTTCTTGACATATCATCTCCCCACCTATTCTATCAAGAATAATTTAACTTCTAAATTTTTAGCTTTTTCTTTCTTTTTCTTTTACTCTCATCAATCGTTTTCTCATAGTATCTTCTTTTTCTCTTTCCTGGTATGTGTGGGGGAAAGTGCTTTTATTCTTCTCTAAAACTTTCTCCTTTATAGCTAGTTATGTTTCCTACCACCTGTGACTCAAGCTAACTGATGCTTCAATACTTACCATGCCTAATACTTAAAATCCCATTTACTCTACTTGCTCTCATACATTTCCAAGCCTTTTCTCATGAAAAAAAAATACAAAATATTATTTTATACTCAAGGTTCTTCCAGAGATGCAGAAACATCACATTGTCTCATCCTCTTCTAATTTATATTTTCCAATTGTTTCTTATATTCTGCATTGCTGCCTTGTCTTACTCCTGTCTACTATAAATGTTTCTTGCATCACTGTTCTTGCTTTTTTTCCCATTAGAATCTAGATACTTACCCCCATACATTTTTTTTTTTTAAAGTGAATTCACAAAGTACTCATAAAACCTCCCACCAGCTGTGGTCTTGTAGTTGCCATTTATTTCCCACTTGG